ATAAAGTTGTATAACATTTTAAATGGGATTGAAAAAGTAAACACAGAACTATTCTCATTATTAATAATAATAATGCAAGGATTATTATTAATATTATTTAAGATACATCAAGATAATAGAATACGAGGACACAGGTTCAGAGTTGTAAATTTGTAAAAAAGTAAATTTTGTAACAGACACCAGGAAGGTTTTCTTTACCCAGAGGGTAATTAATGACTGGAACCGGTTTTATAGGAAGGGTGGTTGAGTCCAGATCACTGGAACTCATTTAAAAAGCAGCTTGATGCAGTGAGAAGGGGTGGTAGGGTGGGTGTTCTGGAGGGATGAGATCAGAAAGGCCGAAGGTTCTTCTTCATCCAAACTAATCTGTGATCTTGTGATGCTTACCATCCCATGGAGACAAAGCTGATCCATGCACAATACTGTTGGCTAAGAGAAGGGAGTTTCTCCCTCCTGGTGTCCTGGCGAACAATTCCCCAGGTAAACTCCAAAGCTGCTTATGGTACCTTGCTACATGCAAAACAGCTGCTACATTTGCTTACAAATGCTCAGCCCCAGTGAAATACTATAAAACATTTCAGTGTTATAGACACTGGATTAAACTGCACGGATCAAGAGCTGGACACAGGACTCCAGATGTGTGCTGACCAGAGCTGGACACAGTATTCCAGATGTGCGCTGACCAGAGCTGGATAGTGTGAAGTCCAGAGTCACCAATGTGAGGGTATGAGGTTCACGCAATCACCATCCACACCCAGAGAGTTAACAGCTGAGGACCAGAGAGAACGGCAGGTCAGCACAAACCACAGTGAAATCTAATTTCGCTGCTGAAAAAAAACCTATCCATCTACTCACTGCTGTCACATCAAGCTCCAGATAATTTGAAAAATATTGGCGAGTCAGGTCCTTAAATCAAAGAATCAATTAAAAGTGTAACTTCCTGGATTGTAACTTACATTATTGCCTCCTACACAGCTGGCACCACTGGCGTTGAGATCCACTGGCTGTGTCCTCAACCCCTGACTCTCGACCTCCTCACAACCCCTTACACTCACCCTCACTGAGCCAATCTGACACCTTTCTCCTCATGACACCTCTTTGGAGTCCTGTAGCCTAGTGATTAGCGCGCTCACCTCACGAGCGAGAGGACCCAGGTTCGATTCCCAGACAGGGTGAAACCTTAGGCAAGTTTCCTTACCCCGCAGGCCTCTGTTCACCTTGTAGTAAGTAGGAACCTCGGTGTTAGTCGATTGGCAGATCGCTTTTTGAGGATAATAATCCCTCCCAAAAAATTGTCACTCAATCCACGACAATTTGTGGGACACTACTGTGCGTAATTGGCTGCCGCATTTTGGCCACAAAATGCACAGTGAATTCACTTTACAGTATATCCTGTGAAGCCCTTTGAGACGTCTCAATGATGTAATGAATCGCTATATAAAATGCAAGGATTATTATTATTAAAGGAACAGTAAAGCAAATCTTAAAAATTAACTAGAATATGGAAAAGTGTGTTTTTTTTTCACGCAGCGATTTGCAAATCTCTCTGTTGGAGTAAATGTGGAGTGCATGTAAATTTTATGCTTGACACCCTATAAATCTGCCGCTCTGTCGGCCAGGCTGGATGGAGTGTTTAAATGCCTATAAATTGTTTGCAAAAAAAAATGCTATGGATTGATTTACCAAATGCCGAGCGAGGAGATTGTTCATCTCCGGCTATTGACCTGCTGAAAGCTGAGGTTTATTGGAGTGTAAGGCTAACAGCAAGGTGCTTAGAGTAAGAGCCTTTCATATGTCTTTCCACAGCAAGACGTCCTCAAGTGCTTCACAACTTATCGTCCAGTGTAGTGACCTTTTTTTGTTTAGAGGTTAAGCGAGGCAGCCCTTTGCTCATGGCGATGCCCCATGTCAGGTGGTCAGCCACGTGTCTGACACAAGCGGAAACCCATCACTGTACTTAAGAGTATCCAAACCAAACTGAGAATTCCATGCATCCCGCCTACACATGGAAATACAGAGAGAGAGATTATTGGAATAGAATGTGCACTCTCTTCCTGTAGTGATGCAATCTCCTTAACTAATTCCAGAAAGCATTAGGCGCAGGTTGCCAAGAGCCAAGGTTTGGTGTCCCTAGAATGTGTGTTGGGGTAACTGCTGGCGTCTAACCAGCTAAAGCCACATAGCTTGCCAGTGAGAGCATTGTGTGGCAAGCTTTCCCGATGCTTGTCCAGCTAGGACCTCTCTAATGTTAGGCTTTTGGCTCGGGTTAACAGGAGCTTAGTGGGAGAATTCCCTGCGCCCAGTGACTGGTCTGCCCTTCCAAGTCCTGCCAGGCAATGAACCTCACAGGGGGCTATTATTAATTTTTGTAGCTGGGAGATTTGTTGTGCACAGCAATGTCCCTCAAACAGCCATGAAGTGAAGTGAGTGACTAATTTTATTTGAGGATTGTTGGCCAGGACACCAGGAGAAACTCCCTTTTCTTTTTTGAATAGTGTCATGGGATCTTTAACCTGAACAGGCAGATAGGACCTCGGTTTATGGTCTCATCCCTAAGGATGGCATCTCCAACAAAGAAACACACCCCGGCGCTGTATTGGAGTGTCACCTTAGACTATATGATTCCAAGTCCCAACGGGAACCTTGAACCTGCATCCTTCTGACTCAGAGGTGAGAGCGCTACCGTTGAGCCAGATGACATCAGATTATGGGTTCATGCCCCACATTGGGAATCACATAGTCTAAGCTGACCACTCAGTGATAGCACGCACATCATTGTTCACACACTAATTCATACCTATACACACATAGACATACACACACAAACACACATTCGCACAGGATATAAACATTTGATTCTGGCCAACAATCCCCTAAATAAATGTAGTCACTCACTCCATGATTGATTGTGGGACATGGCTGTGCGCAAATTGGCTGCCATGTTTCGGCCACAATCACTTCGCCCACTTACACAGTATTTACCAGCGCCTTGGGACGTCCTCCCGACGTGAAGGGCACTATACAAATTTAGTGATTTTGTTGCTGTTGTTATCTTGTGAAGTGCCTTGATATGTCTCTCGAATCTGAAAGGCGCTAAACCGAATGTATGTATTATTATTAAAAACGCTCTCCTAATGTATAATTATAATTTATAAATCAGGAAAGTGTGTGTTTATATTGTGCGTGTGTGCATAACTCATATACTGTGTGTTTTAATTTACATTCATTCTCCAAAATTGCCCATTGCCTTTGAAAATCATTAAAAGCAATCTCTCCCTGCGCTGCCTGTGCTGGGTTATAGGGGCAGTGATTGGAGGGTGGAAATGGTATTGACTGCTGGTCTAGTGCGCAGTGTAATGTAACCTCCCCACCCCCCACCCTGCCTTTCCCTCCCCCACTGCCAGCCAGCCAGAGTCAGACACCAGACTCCCCCAGACACTGATGCCTAGAGTCCAATCAGCTCCTGTTACAGTTCAGCTCTCATACTCTCCTCCTTTTACTCTCATTTCTTAGCCCCCTCCCCCAACTCCCTCTCCCTTCCCCCACCCTCTCCTTCCCCACTCCCCGTCTCCCCCCCAACCCTTCTCCCTCTCTCCCCCCCCCATCCACCCACGCACCCCACTCCCCCTCCTTGCATTTGATACAGCGCCTTATCACGTCATAGAGACGTCTCAAATTTTGTGGGCGAAACGTGGCAGCCAATTGCGGACAGTGGTGTCCCACAAACGGTCGTGGATTGAGTCGTGAATTTTGGGGAGGGATTATGACCCCTGGAAAGCCTTCCGCCAACCGACCAGCAGCCGGGTTTCCTACATAATACTGCTAGATAAACAGAGGCGTGCGGAGTAGGTTTCGAGGCGCGAGGTTTCGCTCTGCCTGGGAATGGAACCCGGGTTCCTCTTGCTTTCCAGGCGAGCGCTCTAACCACTGCCTACTGGACATCCACCAGGATGTGGAGGGTTATTATTATTATTCTTATTCTTGTTATGGTGATAGGGTGCGTTAGCTTAATAAAGCAGCCTTCAGCTCAGTTAAGATTTGGAAAATGCCTGCGATGTGGAGAAGGAAGCGAAAGGCGTTGCATGTATGGTATATCAATGCAAGTTCCTGCATTGTTGCTTGTGTTGCTGTGTGACATCAGGGGCCTCTCAGCCCTGGGTGGTGAGAGGGAGAGAGGGGGGGGGAGTGGGGGGGGGGGGAAGAGAGAGAGAGAGAGAGGGAGGAGAGAGGGGAGGAGATCTGTCAGTTTCAGCCTGTCAGTCAGGGGGGAGGGTCGCGGGAGGGGTTTCAGAGCTCTGCAAATCTCCCCCAAAACAAAGGCAAAACAGCTTTCACATCTGGAGGGAGGGAGAGAGAGGGAGAGAGAGAGAAAAGGAAGGAAGGTAGGAGAGAGAGAGAGAGGGGGGGGGGATCACATCCCAGTGGTTAGCACCAGCATTGGCAAACCAGTCCAACAGAGCATCTCTCAAAGCAAAGTCTCCTGATCTGCTCTGCTCCCACCCTACCCCTACCCTACCCTACCCTGCCCTGCCCTGCCTGCCTTCCCTGCCCTGCCCTGCCCTGCCTGCCTTCCCTGCCCTGCCCTGCCTGCCTTCCCTGCCTTTTTGCCTACCTGGAGAGCCTTGCTTTGGGTGGGGGGGTGGGTGGGGGGTGTATTTTCTTTTGGATCTCAACTCACTCTTCTTCTCCAGAGAGAAGAAAGGGGAGTGGGGGGGTTGGTGGTGGTAGGGGGTGGTAGGGGGTGGTGGGGGGGTTGGTGGTGGTAGGGGGTGGTAGGGGTTGGTGGGGGGGTTGGGTGGAGAAAGCAATTTGCTACAAGCACAGGGTGAGTGAGTGAGTGGGACACACACACACACTGTGTGTTCTGTTTAGCAGAGAGAGAGAGGAGAGAGACAGAGTAAAGAGAGAGAGAGGGAGAGATTTGGGATCAAATCCTTGTTGGCATCTCATTATCTTCCTTCCCTCCTCACTCTCCCCCCCCCCATCACTCCCCTGGTCCAGTGAGGTCCTCCCCTCTGAGCCGTCCGTCCCTGGGCTTTGCTGTGACCTGGAGACTGCTGTCTGTGTGGGGAGGAGGGAGTGAGGGAGTGAGTGAGTTCACACTTGGCTTTTAAAGAGGCTGCAACATGCAGGATCAGCCCCGCCTGCTGTTCTCCCAGGCCGGGGGCAGTGTACCTGGGCTCCCCCCACACCTGCAGGACACAGAGGCTGAGGGCAGAAAGCAGGACATTGGAGACATCCTTCAGCACATCATGACCATCACTGACCAGAGTCTCGATGAAGCCCAGGCCAGGTGAGTGGGCAGGGAGAGACAGGGGTGGGGGGGTGGGGGTGTGTGTGTGTGGGAGAGACACAGAGAAAGATCTTCACTGACCCTAAGGGTGAGATCCTCTCTCTCTCTCTCTCTCTCTCCCTCTCCTCTCCTCTCCTCTCTCATCTTAAGATTCAAACCAAATCGAATCCCACATGAATGGAGTTTCTGTGCAGAGAGAGGCAGAGAGAGAGAGCTCAGCTGCCCCTCTCAGTGTGTAACTGTGGCATTCCCTCTTTAAAGATGAAAACAATAAGAATATCATGTAATACCAATGGAGTTTCTGTACAGGGAGAGAGAGAGAGAGAGAGAGCTCAGTCCCCCACTTATCCTAACAGTAGGATTTCCCCTCCCCTCCCCCACATTCTTTTAAGATTAAACAATTTAATATAATGTGGAGTTTGTGTGTTCCTATTGGGAATGTGTGCTGTTTTCCCTGCAGGAAACACGCTCTGAACTGCCACAGGATGAAGCCAGCCCTCTTCAGTGTCCTGTGTGAGATCAAGGAGAAAACTGGTGAGTAATGTAACTTCAGTCATTTACACTACTGCCTTAGAACATTCCTGGCTGTAACATTGCTGGGCTGGACAGGTTCCTGTGATAAACTACACCCTCTCCCCCATTTGTATGGTGCGTTTTCTGCTGCTAAGCTGCACTTTTACCCCCTATCTATCTGTCTGTCTGTCTCTCTCTCTTTGGCTCAGTCTCTTTCTCTCTTAACTAGTTCTGTAATCTGTTTCTTTCTGGTTCTGCGAGTCTCTGTCTGTATGTGTGTCTCTCTTGAAATCTTCTGATTTCTGTCTCTGTGTGTGTGTGTGTGTCTGCTTTCTGTCTCTGTGTCTCTGTCTGTGTCTGTCTGTGTTTTCTGTCTCTGTGTGTGTGTGTCTGCTTTCTGTCTCTGTGTCTGTCTGTGTTTTCTGTCTCTGTGTGTGTGTGTCTCTGCTTTCTGTCTCTGTGTCTCTATGTGTCTGTCTCTGCATTCTGTCTGTGTGTCTCTATGTGTCTGTCTCTGTTTTCTGTGTGTGTGTGTCTCTATGTGTTTGTCTCTGCTTTCTGTCTCTGTGTGTGTGTGTGTGTGTCTCTGCTTTCTGTCTGTGTGTCTCCATGTGTCTGTCTCTGTTTTCTATCTGTGTGTGTGTGTCTTTCTCTGTCTGTCTCACTGTTAAAGCTGATGAATAACAATCACCAATGGTGGGGCAGGCAGGATGGTAGAGAAAGAGAGAAAGCCGCCAGCAGGTCTGAATGTGATTAAAAAGTTGTGTGTGAGGGAGGGGTGAGACACAAGGAGTGGGCAGGTCAGTGCAGGGGGTCACAGGAACAAATAAAGCACAACTCTCGATGCCTTTCCTCCCCCCTAAAAAAGTTGTTCTTTAAAAAAAAACACAGCTAAAAGTGTGTTTGGAAGGGGGAATATTCACTGTAGACAGTGTGTTACTGATATCTGTGTATGTTACTGATATGTGTATGTGTGCTGTATATGTTACTGATGTGTGTGTGTGTGTGTTACTGATATCTTTGTGTGTTAGTAATGCTTGGATGTCTTACTGTGTGCGCTGTGTATGTCTTTGTGTGTGCTGATGTGTGAGTTACTGGTGTTTGTATGTGAGTATGTTACTGGCGTGTGTATGCGTGCTGGTGTGTGAGTCTGTGTGTGTTTTGGGGTTTGTGATTGTGCATGTGTGTGTTTGGGTGTGTGTGTGTGTGTGTGTGTATGTGATCCATAGAGGCGTAGAGGCAGATAGATAGCGAGCTTCCAGGCTGTGCGGCTTTGGGCTTGTGGTCCTCCTTCTTATTGCTGCTTTAGTTTAGTGATCTGGTCAGTGTGTCCTTGGGGGACTGGCACGAACGGGGCAGTGATAGTAAAACCCAGCGGTGATTCACATCAATGCCAGGCTCCTTACAGTTACACATCCACACACGCGTCATCTCCTGCAGTTAACATGCGTTTCCCTTTTCCATTGGGGGGGGGGTGAGAGAACTGGTCACAGTTACACGACCCTATAAAAGACACGCACATTGTGATGGGTTTAAACCCTCTGGTGTTAAGACTACATTTCAGGCGGTTTTCTTTTCTCTCTCACTCTCTTTCAAATTGTGGCATGTGGCTCAGTGGTTGCACTCTTAGCCTCTTGAGTCAGAAGATTGTGGGTTCCCAGATTGGGGACTTGGAATCACATAGTCTAAGCTGACACTCCAATGCAGTGCTGGGGGTGTGTTGCATTGTTGGAGGTGCTGTCTTTTGGATGAGACGTTAAACCGAGGTCCTTCTGCCCATTCAATTGGACGTTAACGATCCTGTGCCACTATTGGAAAAGCGAAGGGAGTTTCTCTCTCCCGGTGTCCTGGCCAACAATCCCCCCATAATAAAATCGATCGCTTGTTTCATGTCTGTCTGTGGGACACTGCTGCCCACAAAATACAGCGTTACTACACTTTACAGTATATGCTGTGAAGCGATTTGAGGTGTCTCGATGTTGTGTTCAGGTGCTATATCAAATGTAAGGATTATTATAATAATGATTATTATTGTCATGCAATTACAGTTTAAATCACTATGGAGAGGTAATTTCTAAATGGCTTACAGTGATGGTCAGCCAGACCCAATAACACTGCCCATGTTACATATGAATGGATGTTACTTTTGTTAGTACTGTATATTTGAGCTTCCTAAAATAGCTACTTTTTTTTAGAAAGTTGATACTTTGTTCACCAGTTATTTTTAAATAAATAATGATTGTTATAATAATTATTTAATAACAATAATATGTGAGTGTTAGACACTTGGTCTGGGTGCTTGTTTCAGTGTGAGGCGCTCTGCACATGTCACGCACCGTATGTCTCTGTGTGAGGGAAAGGGGAGTGGGGGAATTGGCTCCCGGACTCCAATACCCTCTCTCTGCGTCACCTCTCTCTGTACCTGTCACACACCGTGTAACCTCTCTGCACACGTCACACAACAACAACTTACATTTATCCAGCGCCCTTCACGTGGGGTAGCGTCCTGGAACGTTTTGTAACGCGCTGTGGAACCTCGGCGGCCAAACTGACAAGTGCCTCCAATGGCCAACACGCGCTCGCAAACATCTCCCAACCTGACAGCATGGAGAATGGGGGCCAGCTCCCACCCCCTTCTCTCACTCTCTCCCCCCCTTCTCTCACTCTCTCTCCCCCCCTTCTCTCTCTCTCTCTCTCCCCCCCCTTCTCTCTCTCTCTCTCTCCCCCTTCTCTCTCTCTCTCTCCCTCCCTATTCTCTCTCCCTCTCACCCCTTCTTTCTCTCTCACCCCTTCGCGCTCTCTCTCTCTCTCCCCTCTTCCTCTCTCTCTCTCTCTCTCTCCCCCTTCTCCGCTTCAGCACCTTGGGACGTCCTTCCGACGTGAAAAGTGCTATACAAATGTAATGTTGTTGTTCTCTCTTTCCCCCTCTCTCTCTTTCTCTCCTTCCTCATTCATCAGTTTTCGCTTTAATTCTTTCTCTTCCCCTTTCATTTCCTGCTCTTTCTTTTCCCTTTCTCTATTTTTCTTCTTTCGCTTTCTTTTCTCTCTCCCCTCTCTTTCTCTATCATTTCTTTATCTCTCTTTCTTTCATCTTCTCTTCCTTACTTTATTCTTTTCTCTCATTCATTTTTCTTCCACTCCTTTTCTGCGCTCTCTTTCTCATGATTTCTCATTTTGTTGCTCTCTCAGTCACTGATTTTATCTTTTCTTCCTCTTTCTCGTTCTCTCTCTCTCTCCTTCCCTACAGTTCCATTCTGAATTGTATCTGAATTTGTGCCTTTGAAAACAATGTGTTTCATCACCAAAAACAGCATGAAATCCAATTATTTTCTGTGCTGGGAAGTGTAGAAAGCGTGTGTTGCTGTGAAATCCACTGACAACATGTAATCCACATCTTTTCAAAGCTCTTTCTCCCCTGTTTTTCACTGGGACGGGTCTTATTGGGGGGAAAAAAAACACAGCTGGGTGAGAAATAATTGGCCCCCAACCTCCTTGAGGGACGCCTCCGTGTGCTCAGTGTTTGATGAATGACACACAACACGCAGTGTGGTTTTTAATGAGCTGTGATTGTGGTGCAAGGCAAGCAGGTACTGTACAATGCAAAGGCATATCTCAGCCACTCAGGACGGGGGGGGGAGAATGGCTGCCCTTATCTCAACCCAAAGGCACTATCGTGTCATCTCTCTGGAGGGGCTGAATTTCGCCCAGGAACAATAGAAGATTATTGCAAGCGGGCGACCTGCCCTGTCAGTGGCAATCCATTTCTTAGTGGCATCTGCACTGCGCTTCTCTGCACCCGCTCCTTCTAGCTGGCTGCTGTGTGTAGATGATACCTTACTGTACAGGTTCAGTACTGTCGTGTGTGTGTGTGTGTGTGTATGTGTGTGTCAGCCTGGCTCAGAATCAGAAGGTTGTGAGTTCAAGCCCCCGCCGGGACTTGGAATCACACACTCTCAGCTGACTATGCATTGTTGGCGGTGCTGTCCTTTGACTGAGATGTTAAACCGAGGTCCCATCTCCCTGATCGGGTCAGTGTTAAAGATCCCACGGTGCGATTGGAAAAGAGAAGGCGGTTTCTCTCTCCCATGTCCTGGCTGAAAATCCCCCAGATAAAATTAGTCACTCACCCCGTGGCTGTTTGCGGGAAGTCGCTGCGCGCAGCTGTTTGCCGTGTTCGCCCACAAAATACACAGTCACTACACTTTACAGTATATCCTGTGAAGTGCTTTAAGTTGTATCGACGATGTGAAAGGGGCTATATAAAATGCAAAGATTATTATTAAGGTTGTGGGTACCCGTCCCTGGTGAGGTGGGATTTTTTCCCAGGTGAGAGCGTCGTATAGCTTAAGCTGATGCTTCAGTGCAGTGCTGGGGGCAGCACTGCATTGTCAAAGGTGCCGTCCTTCGGATGAGATGTTAAACCGAAGTCCTGTCTGTCTGTTCAGATGTATGTTAAAGATTCCGTGGTCCAATTGGAAGAGAGAAGGGAGTTTCTCTCTCTCTCCCTGTGTCCTGGCCACCGAACTCTTGCCCTGGCTCGAACCCACAACTTTCTGACTCGATGAGTTCTACCACTGAGCCAGGGTGACACGGGGCTGTACAGTATGTACAGTGGGAGTGAATGAGAGGGGTTGTTACAGTGGGAGGAGTGACTGGGAGAGATTGTCTGAGAGTTAAGTTTGTGTGGAGCTGGCAATGCTCCCTCTCTGTCAACACAAAACAAGGGCCACAATGGGAAATAAGAGGCTGGAGAGATTAGGAAATCGGAGATAAATCAGGCTTGTTCAGAATGGGTCATTTCACAGAGACAACACAAAGGCGTGTGGGTGGGGGTTGGGGGAAGGGCTCAGTCTGCACTGAGTTGGCCACGGTGAGAATAAAGGCCCTTCAGAGCTTTGGGAGCTGCTTGTGGTTATATACGAGAGGCTGAGATCATAAAAGTTAATGAACTTCAGCGACAGACACTGTAAAAGCTCCCTGTCTAGCATTGCCAGGTCAGGGGAGTTCTGCACACGCATAGCTCTGCTCTCCCTGGTGTAAGCTTTCAGTCTCACCTCAGTGGTTCAGCATCTCACTGTCAGCCAATTACACACCAACCTCCAAGTCTCAAACCCCTCACCTCAATGCTGTCCTTCACACACTCTCTCCATCTCTCTCTCTGAATCTCCCTGTCTCCCTCGTTCTCTCCTCCCTCCCTCTCTCCTCCCTCTCTCTGTCTTTTCACTCTCACTCTTGCTCTACTGAAGCGTTCTCTCACATTCTCTCCCTCTCCTCACTCTCCGCTCACCCTTCCTCCCTCTTCACTCTCTCATCACTCTCATTCCTCCCTCTCTCTACTCGGCTTTCCCTCACACTCTCACTTTTCTCTCATATTCTTGTCTCTTGTCTTCTGTCTCTTCACTTTCACTATCTCCTCACTCTCTCTCCCCCTCCTCTCTCTCCCTCTCTGCACTCTTAAAGCTGGAGCATTGATATCAATGCTCCTTTTCAATCCCATGTCACACTTGGGCAGGTATTGGAGGGAAAAGATCTGCCGGGAGATTTGGTTTCTGAATTTTCATAGTCGATGTGAATTTTTCTACCACTCGCCTTCCCATATCTTAATACTCTAATAATAATCCTTGCATTTGATACAGCACCTTATCACGTCGTTGAGACATCTCAAAGTGCTTCACAGAGTATACTACCGTAACGTGGATTGACTGTATATTTTATGAGCGAAATGTGGCAGCCAATTGTGC